CTCTTGGTAGATGATGAAATATATACACTCGGTCTTATAAAATCTGAAGTTGACTCTAGCAGCCCGCACGCTACCTGCTACTACTGCTGAGTTCCTGCAGAGTGCTTCCAGAGAGATGGACAGGGCTGGAGCTCCTAGGACTGTAAGATGGACAGGGCTGGAGGGCATTTATGCTGACTCTTCAAAAAGACATGTTGAGACTTGGTTTTTCCAGTGGTGACCAACTACCCCACCACAAAGAGGGAGGACAATTTGGGGTCTTTATTTGCCATCACAGTACTAGGAAGATGGACTACGAACGGCTGATCCTCTACATTCGCCTAAAGTTAGGGATGCCCGCCACAATGCTTGCTCTGACACATCTGCAAACCGTGGGACCTCTGGATCGAACTCAGGGAGATTCCCTCTCAGCCCAAGCATGGAAAACTCAGACACGGTTTCCTCAAGGGAGGGGGGACAGGAAGTGAGTGACTTTTGTGCCAGGTGGTATAAGCTCAGAGAAAAGTTTTTCAGTTCAAGAGTTTGGGGATTTTTGGGTTTTGCAGACACTGGTGGCCAAGGTCCCTAGTCCCACAAGACGGAAGAGATGCTGAAGAATGGGAGAAATCTTATTTCCCATAATATTCTAGTTTAAGACAAGGAAGACGTTTTTGGGTAACAGCATCATTTAAAAATGAAAAACTTTTAGTTTTTCCTTCCCCGTGATGTCAGTTCCCAGTCTCCACAGGTGATGGACCTGCAGAGCTCCTAGGATTCTAAGACTGAGATCACATGTCAACTTGGCCCTATGAAGTCTCACGTAATGCTGGTTGCTTCTGTTGGCTGGAGCACCCCACCTCTGCAGCAGGACCACCTGCTGACCTCCTATCCACCAAATCATCTGAGTGCCACAGTGGGCCACAGCCTCACTCTCTTGTTTAAAGACAATAACGTGGGTCCACAGATGGCACAGGCCAGACAAGCGCAGGCATTCAGTGGCCTTAGAGACCCACGCCCCACCTCTGAGACAGGGGAACGGAGTTTGAGGGATGGCAAGAACCTTACCTCAGGACACTTAATCACGAGTTTAAGACAGAATGTGGATACTTCTACACAGCTATGCCATTCCACACCGCCAGGAATGCCGGCTCATGCGTATTTCCTGGTGAACTGGTTACATGCTTGACATGGGGTGCCATCGAACTTGAAATATCCACACATCCCGTGTCCAATTTCATGCACATAAATGCTTTACACGATCAGCTACTTTCTGGAGTGCTAGAAATGAGTTTCTTTAAAATGCCCATAAATTGGTCGAGAGCATAAGAATTAAGGAAAAATGTGAAAAGAAGCCAGAAGGATGCGCCTCTGTGCTGGAAGGAGGACGAAGGAAGACCCGAAATGTTACCCTTTTAATTGTCGACAGTCATTTCAGGTGTGTTTTATTGTTTAGTCTTAGCCAGCAGCAGTGTTTATAATACCAAGCCGGACTGTATAAAATATGCAGATCTGATTCAGACGACAACACAGACATTCGAGCCCTCTAAACTTTATCATTGCAACTGTGCTTCCGCCTCCTCTACCTTCACTATGCCGTCAGGTTTTTATTTATGGGTTCATATTGGTCTAGGAAATTCACTTGACAATTATTCAGTGACCACTGTCCCGAGTCAGGGCTGTTTTGCTGGGCCCTGAGCACCCAGGAGAATGAGGCTCAGGCTCCCTGGACTCTAACACCATGGGGTGCCTCATGCTCAGGTGCACAAGCCGACCGGATTGGCCCTGCCCCCTCTCCCACCTTTCTCCAGCCTCCCATCCCCGTGGTCCATCTCTTACAGACACACCTGAGGTTCCTTGAAAGCCTCCAGGGCTATTCTTACCCCAGGGCCTTTGCATTTGTGGGTGCTTCTTTTTAGAAAGCCATTCCCTCGGGCCTCCTCCCTCCATCCAGGTCTCCATTCTGATATCACTTCCTGAAAGCCAATTCTGTTTAAAGGGAAATTTTTCTCCACCCCTGCTCTCCGTCACCCCTCATCCTGCTTTATTCTCCTCCAGAGCCCTACTCATCACCTGAAATATTTTATCTTTGCTTAGGATTTGTTTGCTGTCTCTCCTGGTAGAGCTCAGGCAGGAAGTTAATCTTTCCCAGCAATGCATCCCTAGAGTCTGCAACAACCTGGCCCAGAGCAGATATTTATATGGAAGCGGAGAATGAATGAATGGATGAATGAATGGACTGACGCCTGACAGTACGGAGTGCTGGGTCCCTGCCCCCTCTCCCTCCTGCTGGGCTCTTTCTGTGAATGGCAACCTCAGCCATTCAACCTCACAGCCTTGTCTTCATCGATTCCTCCCTCCCTCTGCTGCCCACATCCAATCAGTTGCTGGTTTTGGTGACAATGAGGCTTCTTGCATCAACCTTTTTCTTTCTACCCATCCTTACAACCACCCCCAGTGCAGAGCCCCCTTACCTCTCCCCTAGACCACCACCAGCTTCCTCCTTCGGCTCCCTGCCAGCAGGCTCTCCTCCTCTAGCCTGTGGTCCATCTGGGAAGCTGCAGTGAGTTTCCCTTTCCCCTACTCAAAAACTAAAGACCACCACCTCAGCTTTGCACTCAGTGCCCCTGACAACTGCCTCCACCCTCCTATCCACATGCCTTTCCTCTTCTATCCTTTTGGTTCCAGTTGCAACTAACTCCTTTCCAGCTATGTACACATCTTAGAAGTCCTCACTCCTATCTGCCCTTTGCTCACGCCACTTCTGCTTCTTGAGTGCTGACACCATGTTCAGAGTTTTAAACTCACTCACATTAAGCTACAAATTTCTGGTAAACAAAGTTTATCAGAAGGCTTCCTGGATGTCTTACACTGACTGAGCACTAAATCCAGAAATACGTCAGTAGGGAATTGTTTTGAGAGAAGAGCGAAAATCCCACATCCTTGCACGATCTGAGCAAGAGAGGAAGTGGAGGGTGGATCCATCACCTGGGGGCCTAATGGTATTGATAGCCACCAATTCCTAGCTTTTTCTAAGCCCTAGGCACTGTGCTCAGTACCCTATATGTGTTACCTCTGTAAGTGTGTAATTGTTCTCACACGCAATAGGAGAAGAAACCAGGCCCACCGTAGTTATATAAATATATGCTTTTCCCCCATAAATAGTTCCAACCGGAAAATCTCCAACTTCATAACCTGATTGTTCTGATGGAGAAACTGAGATTACAGAGAAGTTATGAGCATTTACTGAAACCCTACAGCCAGTGAGGAGGAGCCTGGGCCTGGTGGAAGACCCGGACGGGCAAATCCCAGGACCACCATCCATTACAAAGGGTGTGTAAATGACACTTTCCGGGGGACAATGCCATCCACCTGGGCTACAAAGTCAGCAGCAGCCCCTGCACTGATGCCACTTGGCCACCCTGGCTGTGGTCGATGCTGGGCTGCTCAACCTACTCAAGAAGGAAGCTCCTGAGACGGAGCCTCAGGGTCCTAGAGATGGAGCACTGTCCTTGCCAACTGTCCCATCTATGGTCTGGAAGGTGTCCCACTACATCCATTCGCCCTTCAGCTGGGTTTGTAATCCCTCAACCCACCTCTGGGGGCGCCCTCTCTGCACTAGGCATCAGGCTCAGCTCTGGGGACATTGGCTGCCCTTGAGGGAGCCTGGTGGTGAGACATCACCAAGCCTCGGCTGGCTGCAGCTCAAACTTCCTTACAGCTTTGTCTGCGATACACGGGGCCACACTGGCACACACCAAGGAGGAAGAGGAGGCAGCCTGAGCTGAGGGCCTCGGGGACCTCCAAGAAGGAATGATGAAAGGCGGCAGGGTGCAGTAGAAGGGTCCTGGCTGGGTCCTTAGGCAGGAGGGGAGAGTGCGTAGGAGGCCACGCAGCCAGGTCAAAGTGGGGTCAGAGGGTGAGCCTTGAACACCACATCACCCCGTCCAGCTGAGGACACTCAGGCTCGCTGACTCCTAGAACGGCTTGGACTGACACCCTGGCACCTGATCTCTGGCCTTGGGCTGTCTCATTCTCCCAAACTGATCCCCAAACATGGAGCGCTTGCAAAACAGAGTTCTCCTCTGTGGTTGGACGAGGCAAGTGGAAGGTCAGTCTTCTTTTCCACACAGGAAGCGTGACAGCAAAGAACGGCACCTGCCGCTCCAAGTGGGGGCAAGGCTGGAAAGATCCACGCTACACTCAGAGAATTTTGGGGTTCTGGGGCATCAATGGGGACAGGGCCTACTTGTGGAGGGAGACAAATGAATATGCAAATCAGGCACGCCGAATTCTAACGTAGATTTTCCCACTAACTCAGGTGACCTTGGCCGAGGCGCCTCACCGGGCCTCAGTTTCCCCATCTATAAAATGAAAGGTTAAATGCCTTCCCGTGGTTCCTCTGGTCCTGACCCTTTGAGATACTGATTCTTGTAAGGGAAGCCCCCTCCCCCGCCAGCCCCCAGGCTCTGACTGGCAATCTCTGGGTTTTGCGGGAGCCTGGGCCTCATCCAGGAAAACGCAACACGCTGGGGGAGGGGAACACGCTGGGCTTTTATTTTGGGAGTGGGTGGGACGCGGGTGGCCGGGGCTAACGGGTCGCGGAAGGCGAAGCGGTGGGAGAGCTGCTGCGGTTTAGAAGCCAGCAGGCCGGTGGCGATCCCGGCCTCCCTCCAAGGGTTCAGACTCTGGAGAGAAGATGCAGCCAGGAGCCGCGCACCAGCCTCGTTCGCAGAGGCTCGGACCTGGACCGCTGTCCTCATACCTCTCCGAACCGCGCAGGAGCTTCGTGGGGAGTGGCTGCCGCTCCCTCCCCGCGCCAAGCCCCCTCCCCCCCGCGGGGAACCCCTCCCCCAGTCGGGGGGCGCCGGGAGCCCCACGGGGGGCGTGGCGGGGGCGGGCGCCTGCTCCTGGGTCCCGAGGGCTGGAGGAGGTCTCCGTTTCGCGGACGCCCCAGGAGGGACCCCGCACCCTCTGCCTTCCGGCTCGACACACAAAGGCGCGGACGGGGGCGCCGCACTTACCGGCCAGAGCGGGCTCCGGGCGCCGGCGAGCGGGCGGGCAGGGTGGCGGGAGGCTGTGCGCGCGCGAGGGTGCGTGTGTCTGCGTGTGTCCCTGTGTGTGTCTGCGCGCGCGTGTGTGCGACGGGGGCCGCGCCGAGCTCTGTGCGTCTGCGTGTGCGGGGGCGTCCGTCCGTCGGTCGGTCCGCCCGGCGCTCAGGACCGCGCTCCGTGCGCGCGCCCTC